TACATAAGTGCAGTGCCCATGGAGGCCAGAAGAGGGCACTGGATCCCTTGAAGCTGGAGTGGCAGGGAGTTGCGAGCACTGGACTTGGGTGTGGGGACTGCATAGAGCAGCAAGCTCTCTGAGCACTGAGTCTCCTCTCCAGTCCTGTTAATATTTTAAAGTTAAATATAAAATGGTCTTCATGATACCTTAAGGGCCGTTTCTCATTGTACTTTGTTCACACTCAGCCCCACCAGCATCTCTTTTCCTCCTTGCCACATTTCCCCTCATCTCCCAGTCCCCTCAGCCCTGCCTGCTACTGTGTTTCATGTCCTTTAAGATCTAGATTCTGCATCGAGAAATGTGTTATTTGACATTTTATACCAACATTCTCTTAATGTACCTCTTCCTCCTATTCAAGACTTCTCTCCACAAAATGGCCCCTTCTACTTTTCCTTTTGCTGACACCTATACCCATGTGATATTTTAAATCTAGACTCCATATATGAGAGCACATGTGATGTTGGCATCTAGCTTACCCACTTATTGTGATGCTCTGTGGTTCCCTCCATCTTTTATGCAAATGAACATTTCAGTATCCTTTATGGCTGAAACTTCATAAGTCATATTTTATCTGCTATCTGTTAACAGGCATCTAGGCTTGTTCTGTATCCTGGCTGTAGTAAACAATGCAACAACAAAATGTATGTGCTAGTATCCCTATTAGTCCCAGGAGGAGTGGAGCTGGGTTGTATGGTAATTGTGCTTTACATCCCCACCAGCAATGGGTAAGAGTCACTTGTATCTACTGTCCTTCTGTGTGTGTGGGGTGCGGGGGGGGGGGGGTACTGATAGCCTGATAGTCACTCTGACTCTAGTGAGATGGAGTTACTATATGGTTCCATTTATATTTCCCTGACAGCCAGGGGGATTGAACAGTTTTTCACAGCCATTGATCATTCACACTTCTTTTGGGAACTGTGTTTATTTGCCTATTTATTGAAGGGATGATTGGTCTGGGACTTGAGTTTTCTGTGTTCTAGGATGTGTTTTATTGTTTTTTTTTTTTAATCTAAGATCTTCAATATAAAGTACAGTGTTGATTCTGTTGTATAAAACTAGCTAAGCTTAATTTCCCTTAACCTCCACTGCCTTAGTTTCGGTTTTTAAAAGGCAGTTTTATGTGTATTTAAAACCACTTTTTAAAGGCTATACAAAGTAGTAGGATGCAATGTAGGTAGGTAGTGACCATGGTCACTAATCACTGTGATGAGTGGTTAGTTTTCAAGCCATAGGGAGAACTTATATGGACATGTAGCTGTTGGCAGGGACAGTCTATGACTTCAGCAGGAAGGGAAGTTGTAAGGAGAGAGAGAGAGAAAGAGAGAGAATGAATTTTCAAATAATTTCCTCAGGAACTCTGAATCAGGCTGCATTGGTAGCTTGGACCAAGACACACTCATTTTCACAAACAACTTTTGCCAGCACATAAACTGCTTCTTAGATGCTGTGCTAAAGTCCAAGTCCCACAGTCAGGAATGAAGGTGCCCTAAAGACAAGTTCAGAGCCACTGACTTCTCTGCCTGGGAACAAAGGGCCACATAAAACCAGTTGCTGAGTTAGACTGTGCCTCTTCTAACCTGCTGTTGCTGTGGCTTTTCCCTTATGGCTCTTGTTCCCACAGACATTCATTCTCCCTCCAAAGTCAGATTCAGATTCCCAGTTCCCCAAACCTATTCCAAAACAAACTCAGAGCTCAACCTAATCCAAGCAGGGATTGCCAACCTCTCCTCACTCCTTTTGGAAGGAGCCATTGCACAGCAATTCCAAGAGTAAGCAAACCCTTGATGAAGGGTTTCTGAAGTGTCCTAGCCACATCTGTAAGGAGGGTCAAATATAACTGTACCCTGTTTGCTTTTTAAAGTGGGAAACTAAAATTAGCACAAATCCCAAAGCTCATGGCAACACACCCGGTGAAAATCAGTGACAAGCTGGGTAGGGAGAGGATGACAGCAACTGGCAGATGCCAGGGAGTAGGTGACCATGTGTGTCTCAGGGTGGGAGTGGCAATGTAAGGGAGGATTCAGGCAGCAAGTAAGAACTCTGAGAATGTGACCATTAGAGCACAAGATATAGCCACTGACTATAAATCCAGTTATAAATACACTGGTCCCTTGGATGAGTGGATCAAAATCTAGGATCCTGGCACAACAAAGACTTCAACACTGCATCTGGCCTGAGACTCACCTCTGGGAGTGGGTGCTGATTTTCAGTTCTATAGCCAGGTATCTAACAAGAGTCAAGTTGGAGAGGAGAGGGTTACATTCCAGCTCATGGTTTGTAGGGATAAGATCCAGCATGGCAGGAAAATATGGTAACCACAGCTTTGTGGCAAGGGCATCCAGCAGCTTGCTCACTTCTCAGTGGGCCAGAAAGTTTGGAAAGGGGGGGGGGGGTGATAGCCCTTAGCGGCTTTTACCTTTTCACTTTTTAATATTAGCTTAGACTTCCACCCATAGGATGGCACCATTCTCTCTCTGTTCATCCTCTCTGAAAACGCCACCACAGGTACAATGGACGGTGTGCCTCTTACTGGTGTCACACACGTTTCTTTACCCAATGAGGCAGATAATCAAAGTTAACCCTCACGGTGCTTGACTGCATATCAGTTTCTCTGCCCAACATTCAGGCAGGAGCAATCTATCGTCTTATGGTGAAGGAAGCAGATTAACACAGCAAGTTTCTATGAAAGGAATGAAAACAGACTTGTACTAATGTGAAAGGCTGGTTAGTAACAGCGGGGTGCTAATGTGGACACCCTGCTTGGTGTCTGTCCATGCTGTGGCACCAGCCCGACACACTGTGCTGTTATTGATGAATTAAAGGGACAAAGATGTGTCTCTCATTTTCAAAGATGAGGTCTCTGGGGCAAGGAGTGTTCTCACACCATGTAACTGCATCCTTCCTAGACTCAACATCTAATCTCATTACCTCTTTGCTAGGTTATTTGATGTCTTCCCAAAGGCTGCTTTTGGAAAGAAAGCTAGCTCACCTGAAAAGGGATGGTAGGACAATCATGGCCTCCCTTGGGGACTAAAATCATAGAGCACACTAAATAAATGCCATCTTATTAGGCTGGATGCATTTTTAACACATCAAAGTCTATGTAATGAGTACTCAAATCAGGATAAATCTCTTTGGGATTTATCCTGGGAACAGTTAGATCTAGAGAGACATTGATTACCCCACTGTCTAGCATCTGCACGTCTGGAACCATCCCAGGAGGCTGGGAGCCTCCACTGCCATAGCAAAGTCACATAAACTTGACTTCCAAACACCATGATGTAGCAGCACCATCTGAGAAGCCAGGGCCCCCAGTGTTATCACAGCAGAGCTCTGAAAGGTGTCACACTCTTTCAGTCACACCTGCCTTTGAGAATGTAACTACAACAGTGCACCTAGATAAAGGGAGGGGGGAACGAATGATTAGCATCTGAAAGCATAGGTCCATTTTGATGCAGTGGGTACCGTCAACAATTTTATTAAAAACTGGACCTCTAGGCAGCTCCAGAAAGCTCCCCCAGGGCACTTATAGAAGCTCATGTGGAAAGGCAGAGATGTCCCATAATGTTGTCATGGAGGGGTTTGCTCTAGGGTGACATGACCTCATCCAACATGAAGTAGAGTGGCTACACTGTCCCTCGGAAGACTTAGCAATGAACAGCATGACTGATAGCAAATGTCTGTGGCAATGGGGTCCTCAGCAATCCCTCCCTGAGCAGAGTCAAGAAAGTGAGACTCCAGTCACCATTCCAACTCACTCTACTGTTCAATGTCTTAGGGCAGCTAAAGTACATGAGAAGTGGAAGGCGCCTGGAGTGTGAGGCCTGCTAGGTGGTGACGCTGTCCATGAGTTAGCCATGCTGTGGGTAGCGCTTACTAGTGATGAAGCTGCCTTTGACTCAGTTGTGTTCCTGAAAGTAGCCTCAGTCACATCACTGGTTCACTTTTCAGTCTGTAGCTGCTCTCATTTGAAATAAAGTGGTGGTTATATTGCGCCAGGCTATGCCTTATCATACATTCTTGAACTTTCCTTTGTTTATCTACTCAGAATGTCAGCTTAAGGAGGTTAGGGGAGTGTTTCATTCTGTTCAAACATCTATCTACTTACCTAATTTGTGTGTGGGAGGTGTGGGTGTGTAGGTGGAAGGTACACATGCCATGACATGTGTGTGAGGACAAATGATAACTTGTAAAAATCAGTTCAGAGAATTGAACTCAGGTCATAAGGCTTGGTAGCAGACACCTTTACTCACTAAGCCATCTTGCCAGCCCAAGGGTTTCTATTTCACTCACCACTGGGCCTGGAGTGCGGAATGGTGCATATTTAACTTATGGGTGGTTGGTGATTTATTCATTCAGCCACCCATACGATACAAATCATCCAAGGAACTCCTGCTCTCAAGATAATTACCAAGAGCTGTTGTCGTAAACAATTCATGTGGAGATATTTCTGAGAATGTAAGGGTGGAAGGCGAAGGTTTCCTAAATATTTAGCAACATTTTAGGGTTCCAATCTGTTTGAGAATAAGTCTGCTTGGAATCTCAGGTCATGGCCCCAGAGACAACCCATTGGCTAGTTTAACAGTCTCTGTAAGGGAACGAAGGTCAAACTCAGCCCTACTGAACATGGAACCCTTGCTGGTAGGCAAATTTGTCAAAGCAGTCATCACTTGAGTGTTGATTAAAGAATGAGCAAGAACAAGCCTAGTCTAATGGAACTCTTTCTGGATATACCGATGGCTGGCAACAGAAACAATGACCAATCACTAGTCCCAAAATCACTGGCAAAACTAAAGTTCCTTTGCTTCCTGTTCACAGTGAGAGGAGAGAGGACTTGGAGACATATTTACACCTTCTGGAAACAGCCACTCCCCTTGAAATCTGAAAACAGGGACAGGGGTGGAGCTTATGTGGAAAGATTTGAAAGAATAAAAAGACACATTCCATGCAAACAGCAATACAAAGGGATTATATAAATTTATTTCTCATATAAAGATTGGTTTAGAAACAAGTCCCCACTCTCAATGTTAATCCCATATCTCACTTTTTTTTAAGTGATAAAAAGACAAAAATTCCCCACAAAATACCATCTGTGTCTCCTCCATATTTACAGATTATCAGTTGTGAGTAAGGCCAGGTTGGCTAAAAGTTACCATTACGTCGAATAACCCAAATATTTTGTGCACGGTAGAACACTGGCAAGTTTGTATGCTCTTCACTACATCAAGAGAAAGGGAGAAAAACCTTCCAGTGTTTTTAATTATTTTTTAGCCTCCCTATTTAATCAAGTTGAAGTGGACAGTTTCCCTTTGGTATAAAATCAAAGCACTATGTATACAGCCTAAACCAGATTAATACTGAATGTTTGCTCCCTCTTCTTCCCTTACCCAATGCATGGCAGAATCCACATTGAGCTCCAATGATTAGGTTTCTTTACTAATTAAAGAAATAACAAAAATTAGAGAGCTAAGTAGTCTGCCAAGGTGGTGAACTGGATATGTGACAAGCCTTAGATGAACATCTGAGCCCATGGGCACAGGATGGCCACAGAGAGTGATTCAATTCTGTACCCTTAAGTGGTTAAGGCTGAGATTAGTGTCAGGTAGATATTACTGCTGTGGCAAGATCGCCGCCATGCTTCTAGACAGCCCAAGTTTTCCAAGTGAAAACTTCTCTCTGTGTAAAGATTCCTTCAATTCTTTAGTAATCAGAATAAGCCTTGGAACAACATTAGGCAAGCATTTCCTAACCTTATATTTGTATAGATGCTCGTGTGTGCACACTTCTCCAACTCCTTTACCAAAAGCAGGTGGGAGTGGCTTATGTCACACAGAAAACCTTAACATATTAAACACAAACACAGCACTAAAGGTACCTGACAACATACCCTAGGGGGAAAGTTTTCAAAAAACTGTATACACTTGGTAAGGATATTGCTCTGAAGAGAGAAAGGCACTAGAGTGGTTTTCTTCATTGTACTGAAAACCTTCATGTCTACAAAGACAGAAAATATTGTCGTCTGGTCACCTGGACTTTCACAGTATAAGGTTGCAATGATAAATCTGGCCACTTAGAAAACCTTCTCCGAGTTCAGAACTGAGCTCTCGGATGAGCTGCCACCCTGAAGCCTTTCTCCGTTCCCAACTGATCCGAGTTGACTTCAAGTGGACTCAAAGGCACTCTGAAGAAAGTCCCAGGACCCACAGGGGGTGGAGCTACCAGGTAGGGAGGGGCCTCTTCATGATGGCAGCAGGGCTGTCTCGTCAAATGGTTACTTGTCTTTTTAAATAAAGTGACAACCTAGGGCTCCAGTTATTGAGTGCAGCTCAATCTCTACCATAAATCTCTAGAAAATATCAATTTCATCAGTTATCTACTGTATGCTTACAATATCTAAAAATAGAAGTTTGATATAAATAAATGTCCTTTAGTGGCAGTATACTAAAAGACCAGCCCCTTGGCCTTTTGACAGCCATTAAGATCATCTTAGCAGTACAGACAGCAGCTAACCAGGGCAACTGCAAAGAGTTAGTACTGCAAAGTCCATTTGGTCTGTCTTTTGTACCTGGCCAATGAACTGCAGTCATGGCCAAAGGGTTCCTAAGATGCTGACGCAAATGAACAGAATTTGGTCCAGAGCCAAGTAGAGCTCACATTTCCTAAGAGCACAGAGAATTCTGCACAGGAACTAATTAATATCCAGTACCATTTCAAATAAACATTTGATGAAGACAGAAAAATGTGTACCAATACCAAAAACATGAAGGTGAGAGGCAGATTCCACAGGATGAGCAACTACACCATGTAAAGTGCTGGAAGACCTCAGTCATTATTTTAAAGCAGAAAATTATACTTTGATTATGTTTTTCCCAAAGCCCCAAACACCAAGACAGTCCAAGCAAACAAAGTAACTTCTAAGTTTTCTGGCACCCCAGATGTCAAATTCTCCTTCATTTTAGGTTAAAAAAAAAAATAAATCAGTGCATATGTAATATAGGTAAATAGGAAGAAACAAAGCCCTAACCTCTATTGCAAATTCTGTCCAATTGCCAGTTTAAAAAGGATTTCCCCTTTTGGTGCTTTTATGGCAACATGAGAACATGCAACACATCTTGTCTTCCTCTTTTGCCATGAAGTACAGGTGCGAATTCAACGCTTTGGTCCCGATACCAGATACCCAGAGTGTCAAGGACGGACGGGTGCAGTGAAGACTGTCCATAGATCATGTCCATCTCTTCAGATTAGCAGGTGATTTTGTATCCAGAAGGTACTGCTACCAACGGCCACTGACGCTGGAAATGTCTGAGTGATACTGGCGAGGCAGTCTCCCACTGGCTCCGCCTTCTAGGAAGGAGGTACATGCGGTTGACGATTCAAACAGTTTTCTTCGGTTTTTACTTAGCTCTAGGAAGAGAATGAAAGAGAAAGAGTGTATTGTTAGCGGGCCAGTGGAGAAGCACTCTGTACAAGGAGAATACATCAGAACTCAGAAAATGGTGATAGTGGGATTTGTAGGGAAAACCAGGTGAGTGGCAGGAGGTAGACTCTCAGTTAATAGTGGGCATTTCTAAACATTTCCTAGCCTACTGTGTGAGGAGCATTTACTACTCACCTAGATAACCAGGGGCAAATGGTCTGTACAATACCCAGGGGAGTGTCACTCTCAGAAATTCCCTAGACATAGGTTTGCTAGGCTGAAAGTCAGAGGCATAGAACACAATAGATGCTGGTATGAGAAAATATATTACCAGTGGTCTAATGGGAGGGGGTAGGTTCATTTCTCAGCAGAACACCCACACACTCTTCCTCCATGACAAACAGAAAACATTAAGGTAGGCAAGCCAGAAATGGAGAGAGAGACTCCATGCCTGAAGGCTGCACAGAGGAGAATTGAGCCACCTCCCCACGACTGCACCAGTACACCAACCCATGCTTCTTAAGTGGGAACCAGTTATCAGAAGCATGCCCTCATGGAAGAGCTTTATACAAAAACATCAGCTTAATAAAGAACTTACCCACTTAGGAAATTAATGCTTAAAAACAATACTGAAATCTAAGTTGTCAGGGAAAATAGTAACACAGCCTACTTTAATTTCAAAGAATCCTGAGTACTTCGAAAAAATATATCTAGTGATTTTTTTTTAACATGGCAGTACAGAATGAAACAGAAAGACAGCTAGCTAATTGTTGTAGATGAGTGAGTGACTTGGCATCCACCCTGTTTGATGGACCCTGGCATCACCACAAAACTCTGCAGGAAAGCACTTGAGGAGAACCATGAGACAGAAAGTTAGGATTTCTTGTAAGCACCAAATGTACATCTCTCCAATTCGCTCAACTTTAAATAATCAGAAGGGCATAAAATGGCATGCTTGAGTCTGTTTGTGTTCATCTTATACTTGTACAGAACTTGGTTTAATACCATCCCTCACCCAAGTATGTCAGTCGCCTTAGGAATTCTGCAGTCACACTTGAGCCCTGGAAGCACTGGCAAGTCTTGGGATGAGAAAATAATTTATGTTCTCATGAGCCAAGTGAGTAAGGACCACCAGATAGTCAGCTGTCCTCATGTCTTCTGAGTACTGGAAGTTAAATCAGCCAGCATGCCCTCAACATTTCACCTCACTCACACTCACACACACACACACACACACACACACACACACACACGCACACGCACACACTTCAGAATGTGAACCCTTCCCTATAGGGTCAAGATGACCTTGGAGATACCTCTCTTTTGTTAACACACTGTTCTCAGAGACAAAGATAACACTATTGCATTAGAGGTGACGACAGGTACCTTAGAATTCATTTTGCTAAAGTGTTCCCTAAGGGGCAGATAACATGAGCATTCTCTATTTTATAGATAAGAAAACTGATTTTTAAAAAGTTGATGTCACTTGCACACTGAAGTGCAGAGTTGAGTCCCCACCTGCCTGACACAAAGGTCCACTGAACACTGGGTTTTTGTGACCACAGATTAAACAAGGCTCTCTGGTAGTGAGAATGCCACCAGAGACATCACCACTTTAGGTATGACCAGTGACAAAGCACTGGTTTGTACCAAAGTGTGCCAAATCCATTTATCAATTGTAAGAATAGTTTGAAATCTATAAACACAGCAGATGCTGGCACAAATGGCATGGTTGCTGTTTCAGTCACTACAGAACCTGACACTCCTTCTGAAAAGCTGAACAACTTAGTCTTATTTTAAAAACCCACAAATACAGAACTTCAAATTTCAGACCAAGATGGAGTTGAATGTACGAAAGGCAAACTTATAGAGGACCATCTTTGGTGTCCATTTTTCTCACAGGCAGAAGGTCAGAGTCTGAAGTTTGTTCCCATGTTACAGAGAAGAAAAGGTAAGGAATGGGGGCTGAGCACTCTTCCCCACACAGGAGCCTATGCAATGAGATGGTGAAAGTTACAATGCCAATGGAGCAGTTTTCAGTCCATTTTTATAAGGTTGCATCAGCTAGCTATCTGAAAGAATCCAGTGATTGTGAGGGCAATCAAGCAGGTCATCCACAAAAGTACAGTTTCTAAAACAGCGAACACACACGAGGCTCAGAAACAAAACTTCCCAAGAGAAGTTGTCAAGGCAAGTCCTACTGAAGATATTTAAGGATCTTCTTAAGATTAAAAAGCAAGTTCCTGCCTCTAGTTTTCTCTTTTGTCTCAGCAAACCTAAGGGGATAGTTTCAGAAAATACCAACCTTTTGCTTTGAAATTCCAAGGCTCACACAATCCTGGCAGCTCTCAGGGTCTTGTTGCGGATCTGAACAGAGTCACAAACTAAAAGAATAGGTCGGGAGATGTTAGATCTACCTGCAGCCGTGGCAGGAGGCTTGTCAATAGGATGCTAGCTAGCATGTCTCACTGAGTCTGTCCAGCTAGCTAGCTAACCAGTGACTAAACTAGTCCCAACAATCTCCTGACTTAAAAAAAAAAAATTCAAATTCATTCTCGGACACATCTCTACATCTCAGATTCATTCCTTAAAATATTAAAGTGCAGGCTTTCTGCCCCAAGATAAAACCTCATACAAAAAAAAAAAAAAAAAAAAAAAAAAAAAAAAAATTCAAGGGTAAATTTAACAAGCTGCACAGTTTTGCAAAGTAGAAATCATCTAACCAGAAGACAAGCATGAGTCTTGGCTGCCTGGCCAGGCTGCATCTCTTGGGGGTCATGAACAGAAAAGTCTTTGTTATCAGATAGGCTGAATTGGGAGAAACAGCTTTTGATGAAGCGTTTCTTTCTTTTTCAAGATTTATTTTTTATGTATACAGTGTTCTGCCTGCAAGCCAGAAGAGGGCACCAGATCTCATTATAGGTGGCTATGAGCCACCATGTAGGTGCTGGGAATTAAACTCAGGACCTCTAGAAGAGCAGCCAATGCTCTTAACTGCTGAGCCATCTCTCTAGCCATGATGAAGCATTTCTTAAGGACAACATTACTTGCAAAGAAAATGACTTATTGGGTCCCAGCAAATGCATTTGGCATAGTAAGACAAATTTCCTCCATGTAATCAAAGACCTGGGGCTGTGCAGAGCAGTCCCATTTAAAAGAGCTGTGTCTCCAAAACACACACTGACCTCAGAAGAACCATGCCTAAGATGATTGGAAAAACAAAGAGGATTCAACACCCCTTTGTCTCACTTCCAATTCACCCAGACCTATACTGAGTTATTGCTATATTCCAGAGGGAAGCTTCTTAATGATCTGCCTAAAACCTGTGAAAATGTTTGGGAGCCATCCCCTGTGGCTGAATGCTTCACAGGACTTGGGACAAATTCACAAAGAAAAAACTTGGTTTTCATTGTGCTGCTACCACTACTCTGTGAAGGCTAGTGACAGGCTACAGAACATCAGGTAGGTATTTCTCTGTACAGAAGTGCTAGCCTGTATTAGGAAGTGTATGACTTAGTTATCAAGTGCACCTCAATTTTGCTTAACAGTTAATGAAATAATGTGGAAGTATCCAATGTTAGAGCTTGAGAGTAACCCTCTGTGGATAGGCACTCTAGGGTAAACTAAGTAAATAAAATGATCTTATTACCAAAGACAGCAAAAAAGAACAAACAGGGGTTTGAAACAGCCTGCTAAGAGTAGCTATCAAGCCTGGTGATATATTTCACAGAAGGACAGGTCTCAGAAATGGAAGGTGAACCACACAATCACCACCACAGTCTACATTCACAACAGGCAAAACCAGGAGAGATTTGGAAGTTTCCCCAAGCGTCAATGACATGGCTCAGCAGAACACAGGCCTCATATCTGAATCCATCTTTCCCCTCACATACACTGGGATGAGCTCAGGGCTCATCAGGAATTACACATCCACCTAAATACCATTAATACAGGCTGGTGGAGGCCCCCGGGTAGAGTCCTGGAGTGTGTATGTACAGACATATTATGGAGTCTAACGCTGCACCCAAAAGCACCCATACTGACATCTGCCCTGGTTGAAGTCCCCTGTTCACGTATCGACTTTAGACAAAGATTTCTCCTCAGGAGGTAGAGTCAGATACTGCAATCCACTGCTAAATGAAATGTGCATACCCTGAGGTTTTGAATTGTATTTTCAACTATGATTAATGACTTCTGTCTGGAAAGAGTATTCACCAGCTGGATGTTACTGTTAGCCTCACACGGGCCCAGCCTGCCAAGTCACAGGCCCCTGCCCAGAATGCTTGCCTTCTGCTTTTAGTGTCACTGTCTTTCCAAAAGACAAGCACACATAAATTTGACAACCATGTTTTCGTTCTCTGAACACTGTAGAAGTGTACCGACATATGTGTGTACCACCCCGATTCATCACCTGCATGGTACCCAATAGGGACTTGCAGAGCACTCACTAAATGAATATGCAAGAGGCCACCAGGAAGGCAGACTAGGGATATAGAGACTATTTTTCTTCCATCTGTGACTCAAATTCTACTAAAACATCAGAAAAATCAAAAGGCATTAAGTCTGATAAACCCCAACAAGAAATACCATGAATGCACAGGGTCACTGTGATGACCCTGGAGTTCAAGGACATACACACTGGAACATGGCTTTCAATCAAGAGTAGTTATTCACAAACCTAGCAACTTGTTTATCACAACTGCTCCCCTATTCCCATGTTCTGCATGGGGCAATTTTGGCTACCTCTTCCTGAGGAGGTCTAGTATAAGGAACAATATTGCCAAGGCAGGCGTTTGGGCAGGGACTTGATTAGGGTAGGGTGTCTCAGCATTGGCCAAGTGTTGGCAGATCACATCCAGCATCGGATCAGAGGAGTGAATAACTGATGGGCAGAACCAGCCAGCCCCACATGCGAGACCCCTGGCAGAGGGTTTTCAGATTTTAGAATATGAGTTTAGCACATATTCACCTGAAATTGCCAGCAGCATTTTCCTTCTGGCACCAAAGGTTGTAATCCCCAGCTCCTTCAGATCCTGGTCCGTGAGGGTGAGGAACGTCTGAAGATCGATCTATGGGAAACAGAAACAAGGTGGAGCTAGTCAGTCAAGTGTGTGGGCTTTTACCACTGCGGACTCGATGATTACTGTATTGATTTGTTAATTCTACCTACTCCCTAAAAACAATGGTGGTGGCACCAACCCAAGGGTCAGAAATTAGGAAATAGGTGGTGGTGCTGGAGAGATGGCTCTGCAACAAAGAACACTGGTTGCTCTTCCAAAGGACCCTGGTTCAATTCCCAGCTCCCACATGGAGGCTCAGAAGCATCCTTAACTCCAGTCCTAGGGGATCTGACGTCCAATCTGTCCAATGGACCCTGCACATACATGGTATACATACATACATTTAGACAAACATTCATGCACAGTAAACAAAATCTCAAGGAGGAGGGAGAAAGGGTGGGAGGAAGGAAGGAAGGAAAAAAAGGAAAAAGAAAAGAAATTGGTAAACTGAAAACAACTATCAGCAGGAGACAGACCAAGCCAGCAAATTAATGCCACAGAGATAAATTTAGCTCTGAGCATCTTGGCAGCTAAGACCAAAACAACACAAATAAATGCTGTACCACATTTGTGACTGGATACAAAAGAATGTGAATCAAGAATGTTTGTTAGCTTTTGTCTCTAAGAAGAAATCAAAGTATATACACGATGATAGCTTCCTTTGTGTTATACACAACCATGCAAGAGACTGTCTCAAAAACAAACAAAAAACGGTACAGAAACATCTGTATAACAGCACAGGGGCAGGGCTCTTATTTTGATGGTAGCCTGTGGGACTTTCTTAGAAAGGTAACAGTGGTGAAGTCAGATTCATTACTAATACTGGGTGCTTGTGACAGGCAATGATGTACCCTGCAGCTGCTGTACACATCATATATGGCTGCAAATGTGAGCAATGAGGATCTGCAGGCTCAATGCTGACCTCTGGGGAGCTGTGACCCCAAGGTTCCCCTATGTCAGCACCCCACTGTGCTCTCAGCTAATGTGGTGAAGGATGATTGGGTGGTTTTCTACACGCCCCACTTTCTATTTCTCTGCTTCCTGCTATACTAAATAAGGAACAAAGTGACATTTTCCTCTGTAGCCAGAACAAGCTGAGGGAAAGGACAACCATGGATCAGCATGGCTTCCTTCTGGAGGTCATCACACCCACAACCCAAACAAAGATGCCCAGGCTGGCCGACCTCTTGCTGCTGGAAGACATCTGTGTATTTGCCCAGGCCCAGCTTGCTGAAAAGTTCAGGAAGGTCGGAACCTCTGAAGCAGCTGTTTAGGTTGCAGCCATTGCTCCCTGTCAGCGAGGAAATGCAGTCCATGTAGTTGCTGCTGCTCAGATAATGCTCTCCTGCAAGGCAAAGAAGAGACAGTCAAGGCCATGGAGAACATGGTTTAATTAAAATCCTTAATTACCAAGTATTTCAGATTCCATTGTTCGGCTGAACAGAGCACTGGCTGCAGAAGCATGGTAATCCATCACCACGGGATCAGCTTTTCACCAAGGAAATGCTGCTTACTGCTGCCATTCCCAGGCTACAGTTGGGAGGCAGAAAAGTCAGTACCAGTGCTTCTGTAGCTAATAATCATCCATTGTGTTTTCCCCAAGTGTTGGCTCTTTACAGCTGATTTGATGGGAATCAAATGAAGAGCTGGCAAGGAACTCTGGCAAAGGTACAGGAAGTTATAATGAGCCCAAGTTCCCCTTGGATGGTAGGGTGGCCCTCCGCCTCCCGACCTGTGGCTCCATCATGTTGTACAAGATTTATGCCACACTATAGTACACACATCTCATAGCCTTGAAGAACACATCAGGGAATCAAGTCAGTCAAATCTGGTGCTTCTGAAATCAGTAACATCTGCAGCAATGAGGCTGAGGTTCCCGGGTCTAATTTATGACAGAGTGAATGTATTTCATGGGAAGGATGCTAACAGAGCAATACAGAATTCTGTCTTGGCTCTGCAAATAATTTGATGGGCAAACCTACCTATGGTCTGGTTCTCAGACCAACTGACATCCCAGGCTAGAGGAAGGGTCTTAATACCAGACTATGTATATGGCCAGACCCCCAAGCACACTGCTTTAGAGGACCTAGCAGAGGGATGTGTGGCCATGCTGCCTCTTGCCTGTGTGGTGATCCATCTCTCACAGCCAGGATGTGGCCCTAAGAGGGATTTCTGGAGAGTGGAAGAGAGAGATGAGGCTACTCCAGAGTTCTGCAGCAGCCAAGCCTCAGAGTCTGCTTTGCATGGATTTCTGGCCCTACTGATCTGATTGCTTTCTCTCCTTTTCCTATGCAAAATGTGGCACGCTCTGCATATCTCAAAGGCAAGGAATTGTTACATTTCTTTTCCTTTTTAAAACAGGTATTCTCCTGGGAAGAATATGAAGGGATCCAAAACTAACCCCTAAAATAACATCCTTGAACCATCATTTAAAGGTAAGGAGAAGCCCCCCAAAATCATCAACTCACACTGAGTCAAGAGTAACACGACCCTGTGCTGGGGGCCCACTGGCCTTGAGTGAGTAGAAGTCAACTATGGGCTGATCATGCAAATTGTTGTCCAAATGATAAATTTACCTCCTGGTAGAGCAAAGGGGAGCTACCAAAGTCTACGCTTGAGCAACTGGTATAAACAGGAAAGCCCAGAAGAAAAAGTAGCTAAGCCCATGTTCTTCAATATGGTACCCACTGAGAACCTGAGATGAGGTGAGTGGAAGTTAAAATGTTGGACCAGTATAACATATATTGTAGATCTGGGCCAAGTAAAACCTTAAACAGATATGCGAAAATAAACCCCCCTGTGGGAAATGTTTCTAATGGCCCTTACTTCATGTTGACTATTGACATGTTTGCATTGACCATTGATAATTTCTATACTTTCTTTTAAGCCCCACCCCCCAACCTTACAAAACCCTGGTAAAAGCCATATTATTGGGATTCTTTAATTACCCCATTTATTTTTCACAAGGTCATCTTGGCCTAATTTTTAGTTCAACAGCTTAGTACAGTTGGCTTAAGTTAGCTGAAGGAAAGGAGAAATGAATGAGAAGCCACTATATAAGCCAAACACTACATCCCAAGACCTGTGTGGAACAGCAGCTGCCTCTGGGCTGACTGCATTGTGTGTGTTAAGAGGATCAAGTTGATGGGAGCTTCCAGCTCCAGCTCATGGTTCACAGGGAGAAGAGTTGACATCATTTCCTGATTTGGATTTATAGTATGATTGACTACAAGTCCTACTGTACTTGTCCATAGTACCTTCTGATAGTTCATGCTACATGTTTAGAATTCCAAATGTGGGAAGAACCATGAATAAAAAATCATTAGCACACCTGATCGTCACTGTGCAATCTTTGATCTAGTTATTCATTTCTACCACCTAGAAGAGCTGATACCCTTACAGATATGACACCTTGTTTAGCCTCAGCCATATTGGCTCAGGCAGAAGCCAACGATTTAAAGTGACTTCTGTGTTTATGTTAATTCATCTTGCCTACATAAGACAGCAGAATGACAATACCAGTTGACATCCCAATGTGGATGGGGAAGTCTCATAAAGCCCCACCCCTGGATGAAGAGCTACAGGCAATCAAAGGCTGCTGAGAAAGGTAGATGGGGTAGGTGCCTTGGTAGAAATTGGAGGTGGAGAGATATGGGTAAAAATGATGTAAATACAGCACTCATGTATGAAACTCTCAAAACAAGCTAAAAATCCTGTTTCTTCACCTTTAGTAGTTTTTCTTCAGTTGTCCAAAATGCTACTTTGACAATATCCTACTCAACCAATTGCACATGTTTCTTTCTCTTCCATGTTGTTTGGGTACGTGCGCGCGCGCACGTGTGTGTGTGTGTGTGTGTGTGTGTGTGTGTGTGTGTGTGTGTGTGTACAGAACATGTACCTGCTAGGTGCCAGAGAGACACAGCATGACATACAGGACTCAAGAAGCATTCACTAGGCATTGCTGACTTGCACAACTCAAATTCTACAAGGTAGAATGATGGCATTTCAGGATGCAAGTACCAGACCATCCACCATATACAAAAATGCAGTGAAAGGAGAAGAGAACTTCACAGGGAGGATCCAAGAAAGCTTGGGGAAGAGGCTACACATGACTCGTACCAAGCACTTCACGTCTCAGGAGCGAGCTGCCTGCACCTCATCACCTCACGCCAAGCCAGGGCATCTAAGTTGACACCTGAAAGTGTGAAAAGCAATAACACTCACTTGATTTGTTCTGTTTGCGCTTGGGGCTGCCAATTGGCGCTGTGAATTCACTGTGACCCATGGGTCCTATTCCGTTTCGGTCTCTCCAATTGTCTGATTCGCTTCCACTTGCCAGATGCTCACGACTGCTGGACCTTGAGAGGGACAACGAGGAGCCCTGCAAAGAGTCCAAGCCAGAGAAGGAAGAGTTCAACACAGAGGACGTCTCTCAGTGGGAGAGAAATGATACCACTGCCATGTCCTTCTGTTGCCAACCAGGGCACACCCATTCTCTGGAATGTACCAAGGATGAACGCTGACAGACACTGAGAGGTCCTCACTAAGAAGACCTGACTCTGCAGGTGTCCAAAGCTCTAGAAGTCACCAGGGCAAAGAACACTTCCTATAAAGTTTCAAAATGTCATGGTTCAGTTCATCCCAGTTTTAGGAAACAGAAAGCAACCCCCTACACACACACACACACATGCACACACCTAGTCCAGGAATGATTCTCTGCCTTAGCTCATACAGAAAGGACACAGGAGTAGCAGAAGTGCAGGGAAAGCCAATGTTCTTACAAAGGTGCCTGTTCCTAACACCCAGTGTGGGGAGACAAACAGAACTTCCATTTCCCTGCTAATATTCTACTCCAAGGACACAATCTCTCTTTGAAATCCTCCAAATTTAGACTAAGATTAATTTATAACAACTCAAACCCTGCCTGAGTTTGCATTGATTCTTTTTGTTCATATGTCTATGGTACAATGGCACCCTAGCTTTGTGCTAGATTATCAGTAGGTGGCTGTGAGCTGCCATGTGGTTGCTGGGAATTGAACTCAGGAGCTCTGGAAAAACAGCCATCTAAGCCATCTCTCCAGCTCCCTCATTTGTAAATTTATTTTCACTGGTAGTTCCAAGAAAATTCTTCCCACAAGTAACTTTGGCTCATGCAGCCCATTCAAGGTGAGGATGGCATCGTTTAAACACTTCCAACTAACAGCAAGGACACCCTAGCCCTGAGGTTTCCTACTTCCTCCTTGTGTCCTCTGTGGCCTCCTTCTTTCCCAGCCTATCTGTAGGCCTGGTCTTTGACACCCAATGCACCCCCTTTTCACCCCTGTACTTTGTCAGTGAATGCATTCAATCCTCTGTGAAATCTTTAGTGTGCAAGTGACTGTGGCAGTTTCTACCTCTGGATTGAGATCCCTGTGGAACTTCAAGATCCTAAAGCTTCGGGTCTAATGCCTATTCTAGTCTGACAAGTGAGCACTTTCCTCACTGAACGGCCCCTCCCACCATCCACCATCCTCAGCCTGCTTAACCTCTCTCCATGCTAGTCTTACTTGCTTCTTCCCTCTGAAATCCAGCACGTAAAACAAGGCTGGTATTTTTAAGTGCCAATCAGAACAATCCATGCCTCGCATACAGTCTTAAACTTCTGCTGTTCAGAGGCAAAGGTGCTTCCTAATTTCCCATTACTTCCCTGTAGTCTACCATGGTCAGAGGTGTACCAGGGTCAGCCTTGCTGAAACCTTCATCTCCAATGCCTCCTGTTGAGACCTCTCCAGTGAGTTTTGACCTTAGGATGATCAAGCCATTTATTCCTTGGACTCAATGCTCTTTCCCAAGATGCTCCTGAGAGTGACCCTATTTTGTCCCAGCATGCCTCTTATCTGCTCCTACGGTCAAAGCAACTCTGCTGAGCATGGACTAGGAATTTTATTACCCACTGCCTTCTTGACATATTGTGTTTCTTCCACCAGAAGGCAGGCCTGATCCCAAAGCAGTGCTAGTGTGTACAATCGGGTGCACAGAACTGTCTGGGGAGTGCCGAGTCACTTTCCCGCACCAGCGGTATGCCCTTGCTGATTTAGGGCAATGGATACAGGGAAATTTGGCTCCTAAGTCAAAACTTAGATTTTCCAGTGAAAATATCTTTCATATCTTAAACCAAGATAAACCCAGAGTGGCAAGGACCAAAGAACATGTTGAACTCTGGCAAGGGCCACAGCACTGATGAGTAGCTGCTCAGCTTACATATCTTGTAACTTGACATCTGCCTCTTTCTGAATGTCTTTAACCACTTGCCTGGAAGACTGAACTGGCAGTCTTCTAAAGAAGGCAGTTCCGGCTTCCTCACTAACAGGTCTGAAATATCCACTGAGCAAGCAGTTCTCCACACTGAAGTTTTTGAGATTAAAAACTATCAGACCACTACCTTGCCTAGTGTTGGGGAAGTTGAAAACCACTGGTGGTTCCCAACTCATGCTTTTATTTGCTTTGGAGAACATGCCCCCCCAACACACACACACACACACACACACACACACACACACACACACACACACACTTCTAAGAGACAGACAGCAGAAAGAAAATGGAAAATCCCCAAAAGCCTTAGCAGCTCAGTTCAAAGAGATCTTCTGTTTATGTTTTGATATCCCAGTATAACACCAAGCAGGCAGGAAGGAAAAAAGATGGAAAGTGCCTGCCTCATATCTAAATAACTTCTCAAGAGGACAGGATAATTATTTAGTTGTTAAGAAAAACAAACTTGAAAAATTGCTCAAATACAGCTTCTCAATAATGCAGAGTACAGAGTTCAAAGTATCTAATTCTCTAGCCAAGCAAGCTGCCTGGAGCAAGAAGCTGAGGTACCTGGCACATTGGCTGGATAGTTCTCAGCCACTAGGATGTTAACAGTAGGGGCGCTGCTCACATGGCTGCAGTCCACCTTCCTTTGCTTTTCTTTGCGAAACAGATAAGGAAGGTGAGGATGCTCTAGTTACCCTCCAATTTAAACATGTCCGTGCTATAAGCAGACACATGAACACTATCTGTGAATCTATATGCCTACCTACCTATCTACCTCCTTCCCTCCCCATCTCCATCCATCTAAACCCCCATCCCTTGCTCTTTCATTCTTTGAATAAGAACTGTCTTCTATTGTTGTTTCGAGCCTCCCCCCTTCATCATCATGGAAGCCAACCTCAATCCTTACCCACCTTCCTGGTTTAGTTCTTCTCAATAACAGCAGAGAAAGCAGGAGGGAGCTCCTGCCACAGAAAGTTCATTAATGGCTGTCTATGGACCCTCTCCCTCCACAGAGGAAGACCTGGCCCAAGGCAAGCATAGAGCATGACTCCTAAGGAAAGCCAGAACCTACCCTTCCCAGCATTCAGAGAGGCCATGGAAAGAAGCAGATGACATGGAGCTTCCCTGGGCTCTAGTTTCACTGTTACTGTCTGGCCCCACCTTTTAGCATCAGTGGGTTGAGTGACATCAGTCAGGAAAGTGGAGCAGGCTAGCCCAAGCTAGCCAAAGCAGCAAAGACTTAGGGTCGGCTGCTAGACAGAGGCCCTGTACATTTCTACTCACAGAAAAGTTCCTGTCTGACCCTGGGTAAGAGCAAGAGTAGGGGGCATTTCAAGGTCCCATGTTTGCTTTAGCACCAAACTTCCTTTCAGCACTGAACACCGCCACAGCAGTGTTTCTTTGGCATAATTGGCATCAGTATTGGCTCATATCCAAAACACATAACCCAGTTCTTCCTCATTGTGTACCCCTACCAAATGAGATCTTAGAGAGCTCAACAAAAAAGGTTCTTCTTCTATGGGATTACAATTGTACATATGTATAATGGTGTGTGTCCATGCCACATGGCTCCAAATCAACTGCATTCTTTGAGTGAAATCATTAAGGAGATGTTCTAGAACACTCTGTAAAATGAGCTCAAGTCTTTTCCCTCACATTTACTGGCCCGTACCATGATGAAGACACCCCCCATTCTGGGAGTGTCTTTCCCTACTAGAAGTTTACTGGGAATTGTATAAATTTCATGTATAAAATACATGAAAATGCACCATGTAATCCACCAAGAATTAAGTGAGCCCAATTTAAGATAGTTATCACTGAGACCATATGTATCCACATAACACTTTGAATAGAGAAAGCATGAACAGCTTGAATGTACAGTTACTTCCTCCAACAAGGAAGACAACCACATCCTTCAGAAGCTTTCGTTTTCCTATGGATTAAGTTCTCATGCAGAACTAATAGCAGCATCATAGTATTACTGGGTACCCAACAATACAACTCAAAGGAAGATGCAAGCTAATGAGAACAAAGGCTCACTAAATCTACCCATTGGACTGGGTGGGTCTTTTCAGCTCCTGAAAGCTCTGCACCTGACCTCTGTATTATGCACCATTCCCAACTTAATATAATGTCAGGCTCCAAGCGGGGAACTGAGGGACATTTCTAAAGCTAAATGTTTCATTTCAGAAACTAGAGAATGGCAGTCAACAACTCCACACTTTACTCTGCCAAAAGCTGAGGCAGGGGAAGTGGACCACTGACTGCAGGGTGCAAAGCCAAGTCTCAGCATTAGCTTAATTCCTCTGCTAACAAAAGACAATGCTACTTCCTCTCAGAGCTCAGGCAGCCCAAGGAGAAGTGGACACCTACAGCCTGAAAACTCCCGCATAATAGTCCCCACATACCGGCAGCTAAAGGTTATTTTAATCTTAAATATAGCCTGCCAGGTGGCTACTGTAACCCTCACAATGGAATCCACAGGAGACTATTCAATAGTGTTTTCTTCTTGGCTTGCCCAAGAGAGATAAAGGCAATTTTTTAAAAGTATTTGCTTTTTGCCTTGCATCCATCAACAATCTTATTACAAAGAAAAATGGCAGAGAAAAGGAACTCCATCTACAAATGCTACCATTAGACTAACAATTCTGAAGCCTGCAGCCAGCACTTTTGCAGCCTGCAGGGATGATGGAGATGGATGGTGCTTGGCTTAATCATTCACATCCTCCCAGAGTCTGAAGTCTCCCAGCATGTTTGTGTGCAAGCTGGCCAGACCCCCACTCCCTAAAGCCATAGTCTGACATTCTCAGATGGACAGGGTCTGCTCAGAGTCACGGGAAGCCAGGCCCTCAGGAGGATAGAGTTCTGGACAGGAGGATAGAGTTCTGGACAGGAGGATAGAGTTCTGGACCCTTTCTCCACACGCAGAGAACACCAGACTCCACCCTCAGGGTGGAGCTGTGCCACCAACATCTGGAAAACATATGGATGTTGGAACTGTTGCTTGAGATGCTTCCTGCTGCGTTCCTGGCACATCTCAACATGCCGAAGTTAACTCAAGATTCGAAAATCTGTTTTTGTTGAGTATTTGCCTTTTTCTCCTATGGTGGCTTATTGGTGATACTCCCGGACAAAGGAACTCTTTGTAAGCTTTTTATGAAACACTGCAGCTGCCCTTTGCTTGATCTTGGCCCTACTCTATCACATAGGATACACTTCATCCAACAAAAACTCACTCCCAAATATAAATTTCCATTATATGTATAGATTAATAACTTTGAGGGGAGTGAAAAAAAGTCTCATATATGAGTCATCCATGTTACACAAGCTCACAAAGACAAAGTGAGCCAACCCACTCTGACCCTATGACCACAAAGAGCCAGGAACAGGAAGGATGGACAGGAGGAGAAATATGCACCTCATACGCAGTCGTCATCGTGGGCTTATAGGACACGTGGTTGGCTCTTCTCAGCTCCTTGATGGTTTCGGCAGGCATGGACTTGGAGAACCCCAGGCCACTCCAGGTATTTGTAGGTGTTCTGACCTCGGTCACCACTGGCTTCTTTAACATCGCTTTGGAAACCAGAATATTAAAGAGACACTTGGTGTGTTTAATGCAATTCTTAAATAAAATTACCGAAGGTGTGCAGTGTTTCTTCAACATATGAAAATGTTATTACTCAATGTTATTTTTTAGTGCAAAATGCCTAAGAATAAAACATTTTATCCAATAAAAAGTAAACGAGGAGAAGCTGCGGGATTCCTTAATTATGCTCATGTATTTCACAAAATACATTTTATTCCCACAGAATATGTGTATTATAAACTCAAACATTTAGGGTTTCTTTTTATTTCAGATCGGCTGTACTGCTTGAAAATGGAGGTGTACCAAAGGACAAAGAAGGGAAGCGGTCCTGTGTCACTTACCTTTGGTGGCTAATAGTTTCTTCTGCTCATAGTCAAATGCCTGAAAAGGAAATACAGAAAAAGGGGGTTCTGTTACCAGTCCCCGGAGCATTCTGCCAATACTTGTGAATCTGCTTGAGACATCAGCTAAGCTCTGCATCATGGTACCATAATTATACAATGCAAGTGTGATTAATTTAAATACTCTTTCAAAACAAACTACTATTTACTACTTTCATCAAACTTGAAGTCAGTGGCAAGGATTAGGATTTTCCCTGAAAAATTACATTCTCTTTATGAAGAGTTTCTTCTACATCAGAACTATGCTAATAGCAACACAAGCATCAAAGGAAGATATCACACGATGCCCTTAGGCATCTGTTGTCTCTCCTTTGGTCTCAGAATCCTTCACATAGGTAAACAAGATGGAAATAGGGATAACATCAAGACAACTTAAGAAGTTATCAACCACACTGCTAAAGCCTTGGCTGGATAAATACAATGATCTAGTTTTGGACACTCACAATCCAATAGGATTGAACCTAGATACCTTTCTGCACAGGCAGAAAGACCACACATTTGTGCTATTGACAATGAATGGCTATGCAGAAAACAAGAGAGAGGCTTCTCTGAAGAGAGCTATGCCTGCATGGTACATACTAGAAACTAACCTGTTCTCACCTCCTCCCCACCCCAGTCTAGGGAATAAATAAGACGTGATTCAAAGAGCTACCATGAAGATCAAGAACATACTGGCAAGAGTTCTTTTGCTCTTTTTCCAGGAAGACTGTACTGGCATATATAAGGTTCCCAGGGAATTACAGCCTGGAACAGAACACTGAAGAGGGGACAAGGAGCTAGGAATAACATTTGGCAGGTGAATAAACGCAGTTCTAAGAACATGGCAGTATCTCATAGAGCCTGGTTTTTAGATGCCACTTGGGAACAGCTTAAAATTACAGCAGAATTTAAAAATCAACTTTAACTTCCAGGGGCAAGAGTAAGAAAAACTGAGGGACAGCAGTGCTGTGCTCTGTGAAGAAAACAATGGTCAGAACTCACCTGGAACCTAAACCACTGACAGTCTCTGGAGGACTGAGGAAGACAGATGAGTAAAAGAATGCTAGAGAGGCCACAACCCTAGGGTGGTGAAGAGGTGGACACTGTCTTCAGCCTTAGAAGGAGTCAGGTCTTCAGTGTGTCTCATGCCAAAGCTCCCTAGCAACACTCTAGATAGTCTGATGATTTTGGAGCCAGCTTTCCACTAATGGCACCTAATTAAAGAGTCACCAGCGAGAACACTGTCACCCAACCTACAAGAAAGAACCGTGGAACTTGTTCACGGGAACTTGTTCAGCTGGTGTGAAAAGGATGGCAACCACGAGAAGATGTATGGGGTCATAAAGGGGACCTGGTATTATTTTTTTTTAATTTTTTTTTTTTAGAACTGATGCATTATGAAAGCTATGAATTCTAGCTACTTCAAGACTTATGGAAATGTTCAAATGCAAAGGATCTAAAAAAAAAAAAAAAGGCCAAAAGGATTGAATTGTACTTCATACTGGAATAAAAACAGTGTCACTTAATCTCATGAATTAATATAACACAGTAGTTTTTTTGTTTTGTTTTGATTTCTAGGATTTTGTGACTTTTTTTCAAGGTGGCAGGGATAAAGGGAGAGAATACATTACAAAGCAGATGCTTTTCCCAGTAGTGCTGGTGCAGAAAGTAAAATGTTTGCGTGTACATCACCCCTAAAAGTACTGTGTGCTTGCCTCTCACATGCATCCACATGAAGATGAGACATTGAAAGTGGTGATATTCCGTGGCTGGCTGAGGAAGCTGTCTGAGCATCATGAACATCCAAGCCACGCAGTTGTCACCATTCTGCCTCATCTGCCAAAGTGGGATTCAAATCCCACTCTCACTCTTTTCAGAGCCATTTTGAAACAGCACCAAGTTTACTACCTCTATTTCCAAGACAGAAGAAAACGAGATCTACTTATCCAAAAGAAAGGGCATCTCTTACCTATCCCTAAGCTTAAGGTACCCGATAAGCATCATTTGCTAAAGCTGTGGCAGCACAGATCACCATCTTAACACAGAATCACTTGTCCTTAATCGAAGTCCTGCAGTTCATTCACAATGTTCACGGCAACACCAATCCACACTCCTGCATGTCTATTTGAGTTTCACCCTGACCGGGGTGCAGGAGGACAGGCTAACACTCCTCCATGCATGGGCCCAGTGCCCTGCCCTGGGATGACTGCTGTTGCAGCAACTGCATTACCACGGTGCCTGCATTACCTGCATGTGGGCATATGGTGGCTGCGAGGAGGCCAGGCGGGCCCTTTCTGAGTTCTGCTGGGCAGCTGCCCTCTCAGCTGCACGCTCGCTCCCTGGAGCCTTCTTGTCAGTAAGAGGACTTTCCGTGGCACTCAGTTCAGGGTCTGAGAGCAATCTGTCAGTGCTGCTGGGAAAGAGAGTTGGGAATTCACTGCTCCCCTCGACATGCTGACATACCGCGTGTTTCCCATGTGCATGTTCACTGTGTGTGCTTCTGCCATCCCCTGCTTATGTGTGTCACCTCATTCAGTCCTCAGGGCAATGCCATGACACAGCAACGCTGAGACGAAAGTGATTCTGTCACCCACTGGATACATAAGAAAGGACCTTGTCCAAGGTCACTGCCCTAGGGTGACTCTGGGTCTCGAACTAGAGGTGAAAGCTCTTTTTGCAATATGGCACCCACATTATAGGAAGGGCACATGATATTCTGCTTGTGGTACACAAGGAACAGATGTACAGGAAAGGTTTTTGGTGTGCATCAATCAGACACTAGGGACTTCATGCAAAATTTGAGCACAGACCAAGTAAGCCTGAAGGTAGACGGCAGACAGCACACCTGTGAAGGGCTTGTAACACTCACTGGTTATGAAGTAGCAGGCAAGTTAGAAATCGTCTCCAAAGTCTGTTTAGGGGATGAGCAGCATGCCATGAGATGCTTATAATGGACAGTATACCTGAGTGAGAGCCCGTGATGCATCAGGATGTACCTCAAGCCAAAAAAACATACTATTTTGTTCAATTACAACCAATCATCTATTCAGTTTCCATGTCAGAAGACAAGACACGAGCAGTAAGTTTTGCCTGAAAGATGTTGACAGAAGCTTCTTGACTGTGAACTATTAATGAAGGTGCTTTTCAAAGGCCAGGATGGCAGCCACTCAGAGGACAGAGAGAGAGAGAGAGAGAGAAAGGGAAGGCCCAGGATCTAATCACTGGGATTGTGGAAGCCATAGTGTGACAGGGTGACTCCCACTTTAAAGAGAGTCATAAGAGCCAAATAAAGGGCAGGCCACACTGGAGGGAGAAAGTGATGAGGAGACAGCTGGAGGCCTGGTCCTCATCCAGGTGGGAGCAAAGAAAAAGGTTCAGCAAGAAGCAGAGCTCCTGAGGGACACACACCCAAGAGTGGCCATTTGGGGAGTTAGCACCCACAAAGGACAAACAGACAAAGCAGAGCTGGGTAGAATGAGTCTAGGGTTTATGAAATAAAGTGGCTTTGGTAATCAATAGAAGAATAAGGGTGTGTGTGTGTGTGTGTGTGTGTGTGTGTGTGTGTTAGTCTTTCCATAAAGACAGCCAGGAAACTAAGAAGATGGAAGAGGAAATCACTAGTTGGGCAGGTGGGAGTCCCTTTTCCCTGAGAGAGGACAAAAAATGATAATAGTCAATCTAATCTAAGGATAGAACAATGATAAGCACTGTGCAAGGAGGAGTTCCAGCTAAAACTCACGGGCTTCTCTAAACGTTTGCAATGTCCTACATGGGAGAAAAGGGAGTTAGAGCTTAAGAATCCCCCTTAACACTGGCTGAGGTGGTTTCACTGCTGGAAACTGCTGTCTCATGCAAAAGTCAGAGCCTAGAAATTGCCCCTACATTGCTGAATAGCAGGGAGAATGTCTCTAAGTTTCAGAGCAAGAGGACTGTTTTAAGAGCACAGCTAGAAACCGAATAATTAAGTGGAGTCGGGGGTGGGGGTGGGGGGAGGGACAATAAAGATGGGCAAGGGTAAAACAGAGGTTATCCATTGAGTTTTTAAAATATAATTATGACAGGGAATGAAACAGTCCACCATGAGATCTAACCTGACCTGAGTTAGAATCTAAACCACTGAGCTCAGAACAAATCCTCCCTCCATCATTCCCTCCCAGCAACAGGAGCATACATACTGTAGGTGTGAGTTCTTCGTGCCTTGTAGTAGTGCAACCGTCTGCCTCTTGGCACAGGAGACCTTGGTGGGACCCAGCATCTGCTTCAAGTCACCAGCGTTCCCAGAATGTGAAGGACTTCGGGGCATACCCACTTCAACAAAGGCATCGTTGCAGCCTGTGGGGGAACAAGGACAGCAGGGAAATTGTACACCACCATCTGCTGTAGAGAAAAGCAAAAAAATCTCCATGGAGAGCCAATTCTACAGTCCCCAAGGTACTCTCAGCTGCAAAGAGGGCACATGTCAGCAAGCTGTCTCCGGAACGCAATCTGAGGGGAAGACCCTGGTGTATGCTGAAGACTGTCGGGAATAAGGGGATATGTGTATTTACATATGAACATTAGGGGGGCCCTTGTGTCCCATGAAGGCTGTTGGAGATTAACGGGGATATGTATTTACATATAAACATTAGTTGGACCTTCATGTTTCTTATCTTCCTTCCCATGTGGTTCCCTTTCCAAGTCCTGGGGTTTACACAGGGTTGTGGACACAGTAGACAGTAAGTCTACCACTGAGTGATATCCTCAACTCCAAATTTAATCGTTTTTTTTCCTCCTCAGTGCTGGGGACAGAGCCCAGGGTGGGCCTTACACATGCTAAGCATGAACTCTTCCAATGAACTACACCCCCAGCTCATGTTTTTTCAAGATTGTTAGGGGTGAACGGTATGCAAACAATCATTGAGTTGATGTTTTCCAATTACACAATAATGCAACAGTGGTATTTCTGTGGAAAGTGCCTTTACTTTGTTGCATCTTTTACTATGTTCTTTGCCATTTCATGCAAGACACTGACTCTGCATAGTGGAGGGAGGCACTGGTAAGTGAAACCAACTCAGAACCCCCGCAGTCTTCCTCTGGAGGGGGGTCCCTTTATCCAAGCCCCAAGCCAGTCTGAGGAGGAAAATTACAACCTTCCACAGAGTTTGACTTGGGAGAAGCCTGTTCAGGCCCAGTTGTCTGCATGGCTGGGTCACTATGATTGGCACTCAGCACTTTTTCTCCAAGCGATGAAGTGGACAGTGTGCTGTATTTCATGTTTGGAGGCTGAAATCATAAATAAAATAAAAGCACAATTCAGCAATAATTTCAGTGAATATAAAAACAAGTTCCCAGGAGCTCGTCTCTTACCAAAAGCACAGACCACCCCACCGCACAGGAGGGCATTACCTGCACATGTCCATTCAAGGAAGCAGAGATGTTCTTGCCTTCTGTCTGCATGCTGTTGACATGAACATCAACAGGAGTCAAGCCAGGTGGGGGAGATGGGGCTGTGTGCCCATAGGTGGGCACTCCAGACAACAAGATGTTGGTTAATGTGGCCTGAGCAGTAGATGGAATCATAAGGTGTGGTATAGCAGAGAAACCTGTGATTGTCCAGGGAGACAGAGTTAGACAGGGAACAACTTAGAAGCAACTGTTATATCTAATACCAAAAAATCTTTTTCTGTGAATTTCAGAATAACTTAGTATCTCTGCAAATGGATTTAATATTGCTATAAACATCATAAATGAGCTTCAGAGATGGCTCAGTGGTTAAGAGCACTACTGGCTGCTCTTCCAGAGCTCCTGAGTTCAATTCCCATCACCTACATGGTGGCTTACAACCATCTGTCATGAGATCTGGCACCCACTTCTGGCCTGCAGACACACATGCTGGCATAATACTAAACATATAACAAATCATCTTTTTAAAAAGCATAAACAAAAAAACATAAACAAGGCTGGTTAATAGGTACGGACTCTTGCTTCCATGTTTGATGACCTGGGTTTGATACCTGTGACCCATATGCTGGAAGGGAGAGAACTGAGTGCAGCAAGTTGTCCTTTAACCCTCCCCAGGAGCAGCTTGGTATGTGCATACACAAATTAAACTGAAATACCACTTCTAACTCTGCTTGCCCCAGACCCCTCACAGCACACAGGTGAGGAAAGCTGTACCTGGGCCCATGACTAACAAATAGCTCCCCTGGGCAGAGCTGTGTTTGCAAAGCTCTGTTTGTAACTTTCATGCTCCTTGGCCATTGTTCCCTAAGCATCCAGCTGCTTTTCCTAACCTGTTTATCAGATGATGAGCTGCCTGCATGCAAAGCTCTTGGCTTTTCTGAGCTTCATTTTAACCATTTTACACAGCAGGAGATTTTCCTTTGAACTACAGGGTGCTTTGAACAGTGATTTTCACTTGGAGAAATGGAATCCTTTGTAACTTCTATTAAAAAAAAAAACCCATACAGTAGCTAAGAATGCACATCTCTTGCTTATATTTAAGTGACACTAACCTGTAGCACTTGCAGTGTTAGCGATTGAGGGTGCCCACAGTGTAGGGCTCGGGGTACCAGAACTTGAACTTTGCAAAGGACTGACTGAACTATTCAAAGCATTCAGGAGTGAGTTTGGGGTGGTTGAAGTGTTGAGTGACAAGGTGGTGGGCCCCAAAAGACCTGTAAGCAATGAAAGTCCAATCAATACACGTAAGTCCAAGATTATGAAATAGGGACAGTGTCCATACTGTCTTTTGGGATGAACACCAATAAAATCTGATACTTTCTCATCTGTCAAATACAGGTGACAGGTTTTCTTTCAAAAATGTTACTTCAGATATTCCTATGAAATGTCTCTTTTTACAACTCCAGCATAGGAATTTGCTCATCCTCCAACAGATGCTGTAAGAATGGGAAGACAGATATGCCCAAACTAATGCAGCAGTAAAGTGCACTGAGTGATACTAGACACGAGCCTGCTGACAAGCCAGGATGGACAAACCCCTGTTCAAGAGGAAACTCTTTTTTTTTTTTTTTTTCCTCTAAGCAACTCACTTGTTATTGACTTCCCAACAAACCCCCTCTACAAGCATTCACACCTGGCAGTGACCTATGGATGCCCTTCCTGTGGTAGACTGGCTGTCTGGTACTTAACAGAGAGGATGTACAACCAAATGGCTCTATGCATGTTTGAACACAGGCTTACTTCTCCAGGCTTCAATCCAATGACTAAAACTTACCTAGGAAATGTGCTGGCTTTAATTTGTATTGTGAGCATCCTCTGCTTGCTGTAACTAATGAGATTCTTTTTTGGGAATTTGGTATTCTCTGCTCTAAAAATGTCCATTTCTATGTGTTCCTAGAAGTTCACAGGCACCAGTGTTACAGGAGATGGATGGTCAAGTCAAAAGAATCTCTCTTCCATCTGAGGAACTTTGCCTCTCCAACCATTTTCTCAACTACAACATAATGGAGTTGGCGCTACCAAGTTCTCTGGTGTGTCCTGGTCTACAGCATCACTCTGTAACTATGGCTGTGCTGTTCAGATCTATGTGGAGGAGACAGCTTTGGTAGTAGTGCTCAAGTCTGGCAATTTGGAACCCCCACAAGTTATATACACATTACTTTTTTCAGTGTTGAGAAATGAACCTAGGTCCTCATATGTGCACTCTCCTACTGAGCTAAAACACAGCCCATCATACTGTATATTTTAAAGCAAAAAGGGAGAACAATTAAGAGATTTGATGAATTTTCTTTGCTGCCTCAAATCTACTCTGAATTAAGCAGAACGATTTGCTGTCCGCTGCACTCACTTTTTCTACGAAGGCATCAGGGAAAGGAGGAGGAAAATGCTGAGCCTGGCCTGCAGTAGCAGAGCATCTGGTCAGTCTGTGAGAAAGACAGCCCCTAATGAGGACAAAGTACCAGGACCAGCAAGGATTCTGCTTTTCTAGCAGCCTAAGTACTGTGAGAGGTATGAGCTATGCTTGCTCTCCTTAGTGGCCTTGGGCTTATCAGGCCTAACCCTGGGGCTGGGTTCGGGGGCTCTCCCCTTCCCTTCTCCAGCTGCCCTCCCAATCTGCAATTACTTTTTGGAAAAATAAAAACTGGATAATCTTTCTCTCTAGGGAGGGAAGGCACTACTGCAAAAGCCAGAGAGCAAACACATACATCAGAGTCAGGCTGCTCCCTTCCATCTTGATGACATTCTTAATTTAGAAAAACAAACAGAGCCACTGAAAAGAAAAGCAGTCAGCCTGTGATTATTTATGCCAACATAAGGAGAGTCTGGGCAACCCAAATCCACAGAGCCTAACAACAGAAAAATCAGACTATGAATCAGGTCCTGTGGCTCTTTATCCCACCCTGGGGCTCCAAGAAGAAAATAGCATTTAGACAGAGCACAATGGTAGAAAGAAAGGGAATCAGATAAGCATCCCCAGTGGTAATAATAAACTTTATACCTAGTCCAGTGAGTCCAAGGCCTGCCGAAGCTAAGATATCCAGGCTGGGACATGCCAGGCCAGCAGGGCACGATGCTGGGGATAGACTGGTTGCTATGGAAACCCCACTGCTTTCAAGTCCGAGGAGACATTTCCTTGCTTCATACATATTTAAGGCATTTCGCTCAACACTTTTCACAATCACAGACTATGAAAACACATAATGGGAGGGAAAAAAGGTGACACTGGGGTAGTATACAATGAATGAGGGGGTAATGAAAATGCAAATGAGGAGGTCCACACGGGAGTGAATACACCTTCAATCACCTCAGCCCCCATCACTCCTGGTAACGCTGCAAACAAAATGTCAGCTACTACCTTCCATGTGTGCACTGTTGTAGGCAGCATTCACCAGCTGTGTGTGTGTGTGTGTGTGTGTGTGTGTGTGTGTGTGCACTGTTGCAGACAGCTCACAGGTTTCAATCCCATCCAACCTTTTGGGGTGGGGGTTCCTATCCAGAGGTGCTTAGAGATTTAGTAAATTCCTGGTGTCAAAGCCCTGTTCTTCTATACAGCCTCTGGAGTTCATACTAAAGCCAGCCCCCATTACCTGCAGAAGCCAAATTAAACCCATCACCAATATGGACTGCATAGTAACAGTCACTTGTTTTGATGTATATGATCTGATGGTTAGCTAACATACCTCCAGGTACCCCAACCCTCAGTGAGACCACATCTATGGCAAATCCTGTGATGTGTGTGTATGTATGCATTTTTCCTAATTACCTGCATATATATGCTACATATATAATTCTATGTAATATACAATTTACTAAATTTCTAAGCATGTATAAGTACATACAACACACACACACACACACACACACAGAGGCAGTAAGGAAATTTTGACTAAGAAAGCAGAGTGTTAATTAGAATCCAGCCATTGAGCAGTCTGTCCAGTCTGACATTCACTGATTTTCTCCTGACCTCTTGGATTCTTCTCGCTTCTGTCTCTGAATGGACAAGCCCTTCTCTGAATCTGATACTGATGATGGTTGTAGTTAAGTTAGTCAAGCAGAAGGCTTCCTGATGCCCAAAACCCAAGGCCTGTTCTCAAACTCTGAACTCACTCACCCAGAGCTGGGGGTAGCTTTTCCTTTAAGGTTTTCTCTGAAGGGATACTGCCCCCAGTTACACAGAAAATATCACATCTGCTCATGTAGAAATCATATGCAATACAGACACACAGGGGCAAAATATGACATCTATGGTTTAGAAATTTTAGAATGGAAACTTAGGCGGATTTATTTACCTTAGTAAGTTAGGACTCTGACTCCAGAGCCCACGGGATAGAAGGAGACCGTCTGAATATCCTTCTCTGGCTTCCACATGTGGATGTGGACACACACATATCCATACACACACATACCCACATGCATGCATGTGAACACATACACACCCACATATGAACATACAAACACACATGCACACAAGAATAGAACTGGAAAGAGAAGTTTTTCTAAGTGAGATAGTACCAAATGTGAATGGAGACCCAGGTCCTAACCTGACACAAATCTGATCTGGCCAGAATCTCGCATTTGCTACCTTCCTTGATTTCTGACTTCCCTTATCTATAGCTGCTGGATCTGTGGCATTGCTTCAGCAGCCCAAACAGATAACACGTTTACTGGTTTGTTTTTACCCAACAATACACTACAGTACACCAAAGCAATGACTGTATGTTTCTATAATGCCAAAAATATGTAGTGTCAAATTGTGCTCACTAGACTTTCTATAGCAATAAAAACTTGCATTTTATAAAGAAGTTGAAAAACTCAGCTGTTTGGAATTTTTCTTCAAAACATTCCACAAACTTCAAAACTCCCCAGTCACAGTTTATAAATCTTTTAAGCTTTTTAACATTAAAGAAAACAGGATTCATATACCATTGTCATACTTATCACATGGAACATTTTTGTGACTTTTGTTAACATCCCCTGAGATTATTTCCTAATCCTACTTTACTCCCTAGTAGTAAATTTGTGGTTTCTGCATCTCCTGAACCTATGCTTCAAGATTTAAAAAATGTCGGGTTGTAAACACTGCCACCTAACATGTCATTCTAGTCTGGGAGCTTTGGTTGGATCATCCATGCTTAGCCTGTAGAGTAGTAATGCAATGGCTAACAGCCACAGCCAATGGTGCGGTCACAGGGTCCTAGGCTGCTCTGCAAAGAGGCTGTGACAACTTTCCCAATACTAATGTATGAACACTCCTGCTGTGTCCTGGCCTTCTTGCAAGCACTTAATATCAGATTTCTCTCGTTGCCCATTTACCATCCATGTAATTATCAAATCTCTATAGCATGGGACAGAGAGAGAGAGAGCGCTAAGTAAATGGGGCACATTCATTACGCATGGCTTTCATTAAAGGAAAGATCAGAACAGAAAAGGTAACTGTTCTGCTGGGCTAGCACGTGACTCAAATATAGTGAGTTCTGGAAATGTACTACAAGTTGATTTGCTTATGTACATGCACACACACACACACACCCATAACACATAAAGTCCCTTAGCTATTCTCTAGAAACTCAATAAAGCCTGTAGCTAGCTGATTGCAGATTCAGAGTCCTTCTGATTAATATCCAGGAATGGTATGTCTCATTCATATGGTAGGTCTACTTTGGCTTTCTGATGAACTTCAGTATTGATTTCCATAATGGCTGGACTAGTTTACATATTCCACCATCAGCATGAAAGTGTTTCCTTTTGTACACTTCCCGGCCAGTATTTGCTCTTAGTCATTTTCTGGCTGACTGCTGCTCTGACTGAGTGAGATGGGATCTTCATGTAGTTAAAATCTGCAGTTCTCTGATGGCTATTGAGGCTGAACATTTTTGTTTGCTAGCCATTTGTACATTGTTTTTTGGGAACAGTCTTCATTTTGTTTGCTTATTTATTGATTAGTTTGGTTGAAGTTTTGTAAAAAATCACAAAGTAAAAAAGAAGATGGTTACTAAAAATGAACTAAAAAAACAAACATATGAAAAAAATGTTGGAAGGTAATGGAGGCATTGTTATAAATATATACTCTTATAACCAAACACACACCAACATGCATATTAGAAATTAGTCCTCTGTAAACAAATAACCAAAGTGTATAAGGATGCTTCACTGGGCACAGACACTAAACCAACCTTGCTTGGCTGTTTGGGCTTTGGTTTAATACTGATAAAGACATCTAGCTGCTCCATCAGCTGAGCAATGAACTGTGGGTCCACTTCAATTTCTTCCTTCATATCAAACATCAGCACAAGAGGAAGACACCCCTAGAAAGACAGGATACTCAGGAGTCATTTGTCACAGCACCTGGTATCTGAAAATATCTATAAAGCATACACTATTGAGTATGAAAACTAAATAACATTCATATCTTCCCAACAAGGATGGATGGTGTGGGACCAAGGTGAGGGACAGAAGGCTACCTAGGAGACTGAAACCGTGTATATTATTTGGCATGGATTTATTTATTTATTTATCTATCTATTTATTTATTTATTTATTTATTTGTCTAATTTTTACTTTGGAAAAATCCTTCACTGTTTGACTTCAGTTATATTAGCAATGATACAAAAACATCCTTCACCACTCTGTGGTTCAGATCAAGTGCCCTTCCTTGCTCGGATTTACTTGTGGGAATAGCTGTTTAACAACCTCCAGCTTTGGCTCAGACTGGCCCATCCCACCACAGACCTGCATACCCCGATCTGTCTCTACCTCCAGGCCAGGGCCAACACTCAATGTCCTTCAGATGGTGTCTATACATAACTCAGAGGTATCTTAACTGCTCCTTCTAAGGAAGCTAAAGCTATAATCAACCCCTTCCCAGCATGAGCAGCAAACCACAGCTACTGTCAAAGTAGAATATGAATCTGTGAACTTTTTCAAGCATTTTGAGCTTAAAAATAACATCTAAAAGACCTTGGAAAAGAAGGCAAAATAAAGAGTAATTGTGGCAATTCCTGTCTGTAGATACCCAATGGCTAGCGCATTAAACAATCAAATAAACATGGCTACAAAAACCAATATTCGCAGAAAGAGAATGGTTAAATCTTATAGTGGCCTGATTGGCTCTAAGAAGTTTTGTCTGATAGAGGGATGGAATTGACAATACAAATCTGGGATTTCTGCCTCTCTAAAAAGATGAATTCTGCAAGTTAGTGACTCACATGTCACTAAAGGCTAAGCATAGAACTTAAGAGTGCAGTCTGTTTTTAAGAGTCTTGGCCAGCCCAGCAATATGGCTGTCTGCTGTACTATACACCAACCCACATGTGCTAGGGACACGGGAAGGAGAGAAATTCCATGAACTGGAGTGCTCCTGAGTGATGCGACTGGTACTTTTCTTTTGTAGTACTCAAATTCACGAGTGAAGTAGTATTTTTACTTATATGGGAAATTTATCAAATATACAAATGTTTCAGATTGCCAAAGGTCAAGTCTTTAGGTTTGTGTGGGTGTATGTAATAGCCAGAGGTCATGGCAGGTATTTTCCTTGTGTGCTTGCATTATCATCATCATCATCATCATTATTATTATTGAGATAGTGTCTCTTTAATGAACCTGGATCACACTGGCTGACCAGCAATAATAATAATAATAACTAGTTGTTATTATTATTATTATTAAGACTGTCTCTTTAATGAACCTGGATCACATTGGCTGACCAGCAATAATAATAATTTATTATTATTATTATTATTATTATTATTATTATTATTGAGACAGTGTCTCTTTAATGAACCTGGATCACAGTGGCTGACCAGTGATAAAAATAACAACTATTATTATTATTATTATTATTATTATTATTATTATTAATTGAGACAGTGTGTAGTGGGATATTCACTTTGTCTCCTTCTATGGCACTGACCACACCCATTGGGGGGTGGAGCCATGGGCGGAAGTGACCTGGGGAACTAGGTTGGAGGAGGCCAGGAGAGCGCTCTCTTACCAGCTGCACAGGGACAGGAAGAGATCCGGAGGAATTCTTGGAAGCAGGAACCTGTTGGTGTTCACCTGTCTATGTTGTGAGTTATTTCTCCTGAATAAACATCCGTTCGGCCTAATTGTTTATCCTGATCCTTATTAAACTGCGATAGACAGTGTCTCTTTAATGAACCTGGGATCATAGGCTACACTGGCTGACCAGCAATCACAGGGGTCAGGGTCTACTTGTCTCTGCTTCTCCATTCCTGGGCTTACAGACACACGGCTCCATACTTGCCTTCTCAAGTGAGTGCTAGGGATCCAAACTCAAGTCTCCATGTTTGTGTGCAAGCACTTTGCCAGCTGAGTCACCCCTCAAGCTTTGAAGGTGACCTCTGAACAGTATTTTTCGTTTTCCGTTTAAGGTTCATACTACCCATGTCCATAAACTAACAAAGGCTTCAAACTGCCCAGCAGTACCCCATGTCAGATGTAAACAGTCACCTTCCATCCACACCACAAAGTACACTCATTTCAGATCTGGTCTGTGTTTAGTCTAAGTTAAGAAAAATATAAGAAAATTGCTTCCCTATGCTATGGAATTGAGCCTGCGGAGGCACAATGGCCCTTAGTCTCCAGCTTTTCTCCTTTTACCAGGAATGTTTCCTGTCTGGCTGAACCTCAAAACTGCTCTCTTAAATATCAGGTTTGCAGAGTCAGTGTGGAAACCCAGGAGTCCAAGAAGTTCCAGAAGAGCATCACAAAGCTAACCAAAGCAGACTTACCATGAGATACTGCCTTGCCAGGCAGACAGACTCGATGGTGCCCTGGAGGTAGACGGTGGATTTCTTCTGTGGATTTCCGGGGTCAGGAAAGTGGATCTGTGCCCCTGTCCTCTGCATGATATGTTTGACGTTGCTCCCATTGCGGCCCATCATGAAGAGGTGATGCTGGGCTGCAATGTCCAGTTGTGTGCTCACGGGGATGGCAGATGCCAAGCTTCCCGCAAGGTGTTCCAATAGCATGGCTGTTCCTTCCTAGTAGAGAAGGGTGGACTGTGGGAGGAGTGCAGCAATCCCACCAAATCCCACCGCCCCCATGCAGGCAAAGTTTCTATTGCACCTCCAACTATGGAAACATCCGTAGCATGTTCTATGGGACACCAGAAGCATGAAGGAAAATTCTGGAAACCAATAAGTCTACTAATCATAAGCATAAAACTTGCACTGGGTGTGGTGGCATATGTCTATCTGCAACCCCAGCAGCTAGGAGGCTGAGACAGGAGAATGGTGAATTTAAGATCAATGTTGGAAACTCTGTCTCAAAAAAAATCAAAAAGAAAACTTGCATGATCTGTGTTTTTACACCACTTTAAGCTTTTACCCACCTTCACAGCATTAGTGTTATTCTGAGACCCTCGTACTATGACAGTAGCACCATACATTCGAGACCTCTGTTTAAACGACACGGAAATGCTGTACGTCTGTGAGATGCGCTGGATGGAGGGGGCGTTAGGATCCGGGACTGGTTGGAGAATCCCAGCAATCGGTAACTCAAACATCAGCACCAAAGGAAGCAGCTCCTAAGAGAACCAAAGCAGTGGTGAAGTGTGGTGCTTGCGAGGGGTGGGGTTTGGGGGCACACAGTGCATCTGCTCCTTTCTAAGCATGGGTTCTGACACATGAATTGTCTTCATGGGAGGGCCGAGATCCAGTACAGTGTGCACCAGTTCCTAATGGAAGCAGTCTTTAGCCTGTGGCACTCTCCATCAAACCTCCCTGTGAACAGTGAGTCAGGCTAAAGCTGGAACATTTTCAGAAAGTCTCCCACCCATCCCATCGAGAAGCACTAATGAATAAACATAGAATGTTGTGGTTTAAATGCCTCCCACAGAGACCAGCTAACAGAGGTCAGAGTGCTCAGGAAGTCACCCTGTCCCACTGTCTCCCGCTGACTAAAAACGGGACTTGGTTACCAAATGGCAAAAAATGCTATTTTCAGCCTGCTTTTTATTCAATGTGGTGGGCAATCCCAAAGATTAGCACAGTTACCCGAATCCTCGATCGGGCAGATTCTACTCCTGCTGGCTGTCCTGCTATTGACACCTGCAAAATAAGGGAGCAAGGCTTACTCCACCACTCAAGCCTGCAGCGGCCTTCCTAGGCAGCCACACGCTTGCTCCTCAGCATAAGAGCACTAGGGCTCATGACAAACCTCAGCCGAACAGAGACGCATCAAACTGGAATTTGATTTTAATGAGACCCTCCCTCCAGTGATGCCTGGCCATTGAGCTGTGTCACCACTTGGACCTAGCCACAGCCAGCACTCTCAGGAAGCCATTCTAATGCTGTTATCATTACTTCTGTCCACAGTACTCCCCCCTTTTGTTTAAAGTCTCTTTGTGTCAGTTATGTATTAACATCAATGACATGGATGCTTTAGGCTCTTAGCCACAGGCCTGCTTCTGCCACACCCACTGGCCCGCCTCTCTAGCTTTCTCCATAGATCCCTGGGCCGCACCACGATCCATCACCAAAAGCATTAGTCTTATGCTGGGTGGGAGAACTGAGTTCAAGGACATGGCTCATTGGTGCGGTGTCACAGCCACCGTCAGGTTATTTTGAATAATGCCTGTGCCTTTAATCAAGGCTTTCTACCTGGCCTCATATACACCCCAGTGCAACATCGCTTCCTGATTCACCCTCAGAGCTGACAGATTCCCATTATGGGATTAACTGAGATGAGAGAACATATTTAAATAACAGAGCAGTAGTATGTGGACTTCAAGGAGCAAACTTCAAGGACCAGGAGTGCTTGCATGTGGACCCAGAACTTCCAAAGTGAAGCAGCCCCAGGAGTGTGTCTAAGCAAACAGCTGTAGTCCTGCCAGTGAGGAGGACTTGGAAGCCTAGGCAGTACCTCTTAGAGGTGACCACTTCTGCCACCGTGTGGACAGAACCCACACACTGGACAAGGCTCCTGAGATGAGAGGGACCTGATGAACTCTGTCATTTCTTCATGATGGTCTTTATTTTGAGATACCTCACCCCTAATTTCTACCTTTTAGAGGTTAGGCAGAGAACCACGGGTCTACAACATCAAAGTACCCCATTCTCTCGGGGTAGGGGGAGAGCACCACCCACAATGTCTGCCATCTGTAGATTACTCTGACTGCTTTTTGCCCTCATCTCTCAGAAGGGATTTGCACACTGAAACTCAAGGGTGTGGAGAGACGAGTCACCTGGTTGCTTTTTTCTGCCTGGTTGTTCCTGTTGGAATCAGGAAAGTGGATGTGACAGCCCGTCTCCTCCATCACCTTTTTAATGTTGTTGCCGCCCTTGCCGATGACATGGGAGTGCTCTGTGTGTGAGACATCCATCTTCAACGTGACACGGTTGCTCTGTGCAGAAGCAGGGTTGTTTCCCGATGCATTAACCACACCAAACACTCTGCCCTTGCGGCACTTCAGTATTAACAGAAATGGACTCTTGTGGGAAACTACAGATTTCTCACAGGGATAACTCTGAACCTAACACATTTCTACCAGCATCTCTATTTAGAAAAAAATCTTATTTTATGAGAAATGCATCAGAAGCAAGTCACAGAACTTTTAACCACAATACATTCTCAGAAAATTAAATATAGTCAGCTGGAAAAAAAAACCCAAATAAATTATTCAGGATTTTTTCCTTTAAAGGCATTATTCATGAAACAGTTCAAATAACTAAAGACAGATGAAATGGATCATGTGACTAGAGATGTCATGTTGGATAGTGGGACTATGATGATAGGGGACCATAACTAGAAATCAAGCTCCCACTGAGATCACACAAACATTGACAATATATGCTGCCTGACCTCCTACATACAGTAGCTGCTATACCTCTGCCTAAGCTTACACACCCATCCCTTATTCCTACTGACAGAAGAAATAGAGATCTCAAAGCCATGGACTCTGGCAGTCAAAGGCCTGAGGGAAAGAACCCCAAGCAGAGGCACAGTTACATTAAAGAAAATGTAAAATCCCAAGATATGGGGAATAAAAAGGCAGAGATCAAACTGGTATCCAAGTATTTAATTCTGAGGAATTTAATGTAATGTGGTAAGGACGGATGTTAATGGCATTCCTGAACAGCAAGACCGAAGATATTAAAATATCAGTAATTTGAAAACATTCTGAAATCACAAATTTTTGACATGAGCCCAAAATACTTTTATTTTTATGCTTAACTTCTTACACTAACCCTTGAAATACAAGAGAATATCCCCTTCTCTAGGAGAAGGAAAAAAAACAAAAACCAGATGTGTTTAAAGAAACAACAGCATCATAAATGAGTGTATGCTTACATGTGTTCAGCTTTTGTCATGATTGTTTTTTATATGTACAAACATGTAGGCTGGGCATAAACACACACATGTGTACACACAGGGAGCTACAGGTCTCCTATGACCTCAGAAAAGCAAATGTGCTAATTCCTAGCAACTTCATCACCTGCCCTGTACTAACTAGGGCCAATGTATCCTTTCTGAAGATGGTATATATGTACAAACATGTATCTGAACATGTAGTCATATATGATATATATATTCATATATTCATTAATCAACATGATAGAGACCATTTAAACTAAGCATTTTCTCTATGTCTCTCACCCCTGTAGAATCACGTGTGCCTGTTCAAACCTTCCATATTTCTTTTCCCTTCTCCACATGGTTGTTGGGTGCCAGCATGGAGTGGCCTTGCAATTGAGAGCCTTCCTACTAACTTACTTTTGTGTCTAAAACAGACATGATCATTTCTTTGGCTTCTTTTACATCATCCTTCTTCCCAGAAACCTTGATGTGGGGATCTGGAATGAAAAGGAAGAAAGATTTGCATGAGACTTTCACACCTCACCTAAAATCCCTGCTTTAAGACCAAGGCCACAATATAAAACATTCCACAATAAACCCAGTATTTACTGCATTGTATGCATGTGATCATTTCAATTAAGATGCCTATATGAAGCAACTTCCAGAATGCTGTCCACATTCAGAGTGCAGTCCCAAGTGTCCCCTGCTTTGCTTCCCATTTCTGCTGTAATACTGAGAAACCAAAGCCATCGGGTCTGGAAAACCTGGTACTCCAACAAGAACATGCCATGCTCACTCACAGTATAGGCATTTCACTGGTTTGTCCCGAGTAGTCTTAAACCCACAATGAAAACCAGATAAAACCATGAAAATCTTCATTGTAATCGCTATGGACCAGCCCAATACAGGTGACAAAACCCTTCTGCAGAATAGAAATTAATTTTACATGCATACACACACACACAGAGAGAGAGAGAGAGAGAGAGAGAGAGAGAGAGAGAGAGAGAGAGAGAGAGAGAGAGAGAGAGAGAGACAGACAGAGACTGGGGGGCATGGTATGTTAACATGTAAAACCATTACTTCACAGGCTGACTAACCACATTAAAATTCTTATACACCTGTACCTGTAGAGGACCAGGGACTCTCAGTTGAAGGATAATTTATTTGGCTGTCTATCCCATTTTCAACAACAGAACTATAAGCAAATGAAGGGAAAAAAAACCTCAATACCAAATGTGGAAGGGTAAGAGTACCATCTAGTGGACAGAAAGTGGATTATTATCCAACACAGCCATGCCTGCTTAGACCCAATCATCTCCAAAGTCCCCAGGGGTTACTGAGTCCCTGCTCTTGTTGGAAAGTGGTCATTGAATACCCAACACCATGGATGTTACAAAGCCAAACAAGCTATCCACACTTATAGTGCCGTTGAACAGACCTAGACCCACTGGCTCCTGCTTTGGTTTTTGTTGTTTGTTTTAATGCTGTCTCCTAGCTGGCAGAGCTGCCTGGGAGTTTGTGAGAACTTTGGTAAGCAAAGTAGATCGATCATGGGGTTGGGACCTCTGAGATATATTATCCCAGCACCTTTCGGTAAGATCTCTGCTTCCCATCCACAGTGATATGAACCTGATCCATGAAAACACATACTCGCTCACACACTGTTGACTCAAGTTTTTGAGGTAAGAAGAAAACAAAGAAGGATCATGAGAGATCTTGGGCATTCTCTAGTAAGCCAAGAATATACAGAGATTCACAGATTAATAGAAATGGGTTAATAATTAAGAAAGAGCTATCCAATAAGAAGCCTGAGCCACCAGCCAAACAGTTTAGAATTAATATAAGCCTCTGTGTAATTTATTTGGGACTAAATAAATGGCTTCGGGACCAGGTAGGACAAAAACTTCATCAACGACACACACTCAGATACACATACACACACTCTTACACACACACACACAAACACACACACACACACACTCCTGCCACCATGCTGTTCCATTCAAGCACATGGGTTGAAAGAACCAAGGGCTGGAAACAAATCATCCCCTTCGTTGAGTCGGGAGTTTTAGCAGCAGTGTCAGGAAATAACTGTCACATGGCTGCTAAGCCTCCTTAAGACCCTGCACTGTGTAAGTGTGGAGTAATACTTCAGTGCTTTTAAGACAGCTGTTAAAACTTACTTTTTAAAAAGGTTACTTTTATTATTTTTAATTATGTGTGATTGAGTGGCAGAGGAGGCACTAAATCCCCCAGCGCTGGAGTTACAGGTGGTTTTGGTCTCTGACACAGGTGCTGAGGTCCTATGCAGGAGCCATACAGGCTTTTTACCTCTGAACCATAGACTGTTTTAAACTAACCTAAACTAACCTGAATCTTTATTTTGCAGTTGTGAGGTTGTCTCATCATATGTAGGTTATCGAACCACTAAGGTATTCTCAACAATGCCAGTGCTAATGTGTTGGCACAGTGCCCTCTGCCCCAGCTGAGGGAGGGAGAGCAGCTTGGAGAGCCTCATGTGGATCAACAGCTGGTGAGAATCAACAGCTGGACTCCCAGGCCACAGCGTGGCCTTCTCTTCGGCTTTCTCCACAAGTGTGTCTTTTTGTATGGAAGTTAGATGGAAAGCAGAGCTTGCCCCATTGGTATTTCCAGAATTATGTGCTTCGATAGGCACAGAACAAACATATTACATCTATGTACTGATGGGATTTGGCTTCAAACTTTCCCTGAACCTAGACACAGTTGAGGTACTACTGACCCGTTGGCTGAGTTGATCACTTTTCCTTTAGGTTGGCAAGCCACTCTGGGTGAGCATCGGGCGTGAATTCAAGTCAAGGGTGAGCAGCAGCTGCTCATATTTACCATGGAACAAGTAAATTTCTCTCTAGAGTCCTCAGAGATGGGCTTATTGCCTTAGTTAGGGTTTCTATTGCTGTGATAAAACACCACCACCACCAGAACAACCAGAGACGTTTATTTCAGCTTATAGTTTAAGTCCACCACTGGGGGATGCAGAGTCCGTGGTGGGGTGCTGCTTGTTGGTTCTGCTCCTCGTGGCCTGCTCAGCCTGCTGTCCTATGGAACCCAGGATGAGGCTCCACAGTGAGCTGGATCCTCCCCTGTCAATCTTTATTGAGAGAATGCACTACAGGCTTGCATATAGGCTGATCTCACAGAGGGACTTTCTCAACTGAGATCCCCTCTTCTCAGATATGTCAAGTTGACAAACAACCAAGCAGGACTCTTGCCTTTTAAACAAAAGCTTTGCATAAGCAGAGGAGCTTAGCAATATCTCAATTTTATCAAAAAGAGAAATCCTGAGCTAGCCGATTAGCCCCGACTACAGATGATTCTACAAGAATAAAACAGAAGTGTGGGTGCCACACCAAACAATGCACTCCACACTGATTCTGTAACTGATAGGACAGACTCTAGAATCAGTCAAAGGATGTTCTTTCCCAATAGCAATTCCAATAAACTGAGTTAGATATAAGCGCGGAGAGCATATCATGAAGGGGATTGGAAGGGGCAGACTCCACATTTGAGGCAAACAGTGAGCAGCACAGATATGTCAGGCGGCACTCAGGGCATGAAGGAGGGACAAATCACCTACAGTAGGTGTCCTCTGATGCTCAGGGTAAGGCATGGTCCTCCTTAACAGCCAACAGGAGAGCAAAAACAAACAGTATGAAACCAAATACACTTTAAATTCAAAACCTAGGTTTTGGTGGGAATAATGATAACTGGTATCCACAGTCTGTACAAACACCACAAAGAGCCATGCCAAGCTCCTATCAAGGTTGTATTTGGAAGAATGATGCTCAAACGCAACAGAGAAAGCACATCTGTGACATGTTGGTGACACAGGGAACCAAGAGAGGAAGCACACAGCATGGCCCTGAGACATTTTTCCACTTAATTGTTCACTTCTGCTTAGAGATAGGTGTCTCCACCACCTAAACTTTGAGGGTTTTAGTTAAATAAAAGGAGAGGGATGGAGGTATATCCAAGTGCCCAAATGGAGCCTATGGGCCCTTCTTCAATTGGACAAAAGGAGCTATGAGCCTAGGGAGATGCACAGGCAGCTAGAGGGTGGGTGAGGCCTTCTGTGGATGAAACACCAATTTCTCAACACAGTCAGCAATTAAGATTGGAAACACAACGATGCCAATCTGTGATAATTTCTCCAGTGGCCTGACTACTTCAGAAGAAAGGGAGTGTGAGAAGGAGTGGTCAGCAGAGGTCACATATCCCTCTTTTCCATCAGGAGCCCCAAGTGACTTATCAAAGCTGTTTATTTAATCCAAAGCAGATATAGAGACTCGGGGAAACCTAGACATACACTCAGCAAAGAACAACAAAATGCACACAAAATCTGAAACAGAGTCAGGGCACGCCAGAAGAAATAATCAGCAACAGATGTCTCCACAGAGTGTGAGAAAGGAATGGGGGGGGGGTTATTGTATGAACCATTCTGTGGCAACACAAATTAATCTCAGAGGTGCAGTGCAGGTGGGAGACAGGTACATAACAAGCCCAAAGCTGGAGAGGAGCAGGAGATGAGAATGAATTAGAGACACAGTCAGATTCAGCTCTTGGCAACAGCTTTCTATATCCTAGAGATAAGGAAGAGGCAAGGAAACCAAATGCCAGGAGGGAATCTAGAACCATCAGAATGGGTAGTCGGCACAGGGTCACAATGAGGTCATTGCCCAGGGGACATTCATGCGTGTAAGTGTAAGATAGGCCACTCTTGAAAGAGGTAGCCATTCCACACAATGTTTTTAAAAGTACTGCAATGACCTGGGCCAGGTCGAGTTATGGTAAAGAGAGCTAAACTAAAACTGTCCCTCTGGAATGCAATGGGATCCCAGACTCGCCTCAGAGGTCCTTCTCACAAATGAGGGGGTAGTGAAGTGAGGACACTGGCGTAAGCCAGGAAAAAGCCCCCTCAGGAAACGGCTGAGATAAGAACAACTTATGCAGGCAGGTCTCAGAGCCAGAAATGACAGAGCTTCACTCTCTCCAAGGAATACAGGTCATCATGGACATGGCAGGCCCCAGGGGTCCTGCCTGCGGTCTGGGTCTGAAGCCACAGAACTGCAACCCACAGCCAAGGAAGAATGTGCCTGTCAACAACAGCTGGGACTGTTCACAAAACATCTGATACACAACTGCTGGCTGTCATTACAGAATAAGGGAACACACACAGGAGGCCAGCAAGTCCCGTGAATAAACATGTGATACCTCAGACACACACACACACACACACACACAAGACACACAGATACATATACACAGACACTCAGAGACACACAGAAACACATACAGAGACACACACACAGACACAGAGATACAAAGACACAAACACATGGACACACACATACGAACACACAGACACACAGACAGAGATACAGACACACACACACACATACGGACACACAGACACACACACACAGATACAGAGACACACACACACAGAAACACACACACA